GATCTAATGATTTCTGTAGGCAATTATCTAAGGGCTTCTGCTACCAAAAACCCAATATGAAGAGTTTAATGCACGCAATAAGCCCCAATTACCAAATCATACTTTTGCTTTTTCATTATCTACAATGGAAAGAATGCAGACCCCAAGCAATCAATATCTCAGATTCATACATAGGAGCTAGGTGCCATCTGCTTCAACTACTTCATTTTACAGGTGAGAACCCACATTGGAAAAACTTTCTGTTTGGCTGGCTTCTCCATTTAAGGAGAATGCTCAGGTCAACCATGTCTCATTTCTCTCTAGGCTCCATTCTGGACTTTCTCCACCATGCTCCTGCCCAGGTACCTCTGTCTCCCCCTCCCCCCACCCCTTTTTCAGTTTCCTTTGATGTGTCATCTTCTTCCCTTAGAATGTAGGCTCCTTGAGGGCAAGGTCTGTTTTGCTTTCTATTTGTATTCTTAGCACTTAGCATAGTGCTTGGCACATCATAAGCACTTAATCACCTTTTGATTCATTGACAGAGAGGTTAAATGCACCTTTTCAAGGTCATACAGGTTGTAAATGAAAGAGGCATGACTTGAATCTATGTTCTCTGATTCCAAGTACAGTACTCTTTCTACTGTACCGTCTGGGAGTTGAGAGACCTGTACTAAACACCACTTCAAGGGAGAAGAGGTAGTTCCAGCCATAGACTCACAGAAGGAGAGTTTACTAGTTTATCTTTTTTTTTCTTGGATGTTAAGATTATGATCTTTAAACTATGGTCCTGGAATTTCTTTCCATCATCTGTTTGCTTCCCCATGGTGAGATACATCTGCTCATTCTGTGACTATTCTCTCCCTTTCCCAACTCAATCATGCGACACAGCATCACTATAGAAAATTATTCACCCTATGGGGCTATTTCATATAAACTACTTGGTAATTTAGGGGGCATGAGACACTTTTCATCCTCTCTGGTTCCCTTTGTTTCATTACCAGGCAATTTTTCCAATGTTTTTCCACTGGGGAAAACCAGTATGATTCTAAGACATGGTTACCAGGGGAAACCAATGATGGGCTGGGGACCAGAGATTTCAGCAACATCATGGGTCACTAACACACAGAGCAATTAAATAACTTCATTCCTACTAAGGAAAATACTTATATAACTCTTTTTTCCCTTTGGCGGTTTTCCCAATGCAAGGAGAAAGGTTAAGGTCCCTGAGTTTTTACAAATTATGAAGATGCTTTTGCCTCAAGTCCTGTAACAGAACAGGTAGAGGAGAGAGATATTTTTATGGTCTATTCTCACCCTACATTACTTTACTGTTTTCTCTCCTTCCCTTCCCCCCCTACTCTTTTTTCTGTCTTTCTGTATCTCTCTCTTTTTTTTTTCACTTTGCCCTCTGCATTATATACTTTCCTTTTATTCTATGTCACACACATTCAATCACTCTATTTCATTATGACTTGGAGCTGTGATGTAATGAGTTGTTACCTAAAACTTTTATCTTTGGTGAATTAGTGTGTTCTTTTCTCTCCTATCTCCTTTATCACTCTCATCTTCAAGTTTCCCACTGGGAATCAAGCAGCCCAAGTCTAGTGCTTGATTATCACTACACCCACTTAATGTTTGGATAGGCTGTATAGAATCAAGCCCTGTTGTAGGTGAAAAGGGAAAAGAATCTAATCAGCTCCAAACTGGGAAAAGGCATTGTTAACTTAATCAGTTAACTTTGTAACCAGTCTGAATTATGGAGGTATCTTTAGAGAGATGAGACTGATCAGTATTTCTTGAGGCTAAATGATCTGGGGCTAGTTAAGTAGAAATGATCTGATGATCACAGATTTATAATGGGAAGGGAGCTCAAAAGCCAACTAATTAAGTCCTCTCATTTTACAGATGAGGAAAAATGAGGCCCACAGAGGTTAAATGACTTTCCAAACACCAAGGAGTAAGTAGGTTCCAAACCCATGCCTTATTACTCCATATAGAGTACTTTATACTTAAATTGTGAAAAGAAAACCTTTGTCAAATTGAGTTTAGGCTGTTGTGAGAGAGGCAGAAGTGGAGAGAAAAAGAGAAATCATTTAAGCTTTCTCAGTATCAGTTTAATTGTCTCTAAAATGGGAGCAATAATATTTGCTCTGGAGGAAGTGCTTATATGAATGTAAATAATAATAGCAATGATGATGATGAGTATTGAAAAGTGCAAAGCAGCGTGATATAGAGAGGAGGCATAGTGTAGTGGATAGGGCAGTGGACTGAAAGTTACGAAGCCCTGGGTTCAAATCTCAAATCAGATATTTGCTAGATGTGTGACCTTGGATAAGTAGCAACTTAGTGCCTCAGTTTCCTTATCTATAAAATGAGGAGATTGTACTTGATGCTCCCCTCCAACTCTAAACCTACAATCCTTTGAGGATAGGATAAATGGAAAAAAATATTTCATGAGGGATGTTATAGGAGACTTCTGCTTGGTTTTCATTCCAAGGGGTTCTGATCCCCTATCAATAAGGTTAAGACCAGGTTTATTCTCCAGGGTAAGAAAATATCTCTTCCTTCAATTTGTTTTCATGTGGGCATATACGATTGGAAAGATAGGCAGTGTGGTGTAGTCAAAGAATATTGTAATGAAAATCTAGGACCTGGATTTTAGCCTGCTCTGTGGTTAATTTGCTTTTGATTATGATCAAATTATTAGTCCTATTTGAGTCTCAGTTTTCTCTTCTGCAGAATCAAGAGGTTATTCTATTTTATTTCAACTCTACCAAATATCATGATTCTGCTCTCCACCTTTTGTTCTGTTCAGGTATGTACCTCCATTCCAGATTTGAGAAAGCGACTCCCCCAGGCCTTCCAGTGGTGGAGCCAAAAATTTCCAGTAGGGAAAGACAGCCCACTCTGCTGGGGATCTGGGCATCTGGAGAACTCCTGGGAGCTTTTTTACAAATTTTACAGTTTTCTGAGTAATAAGAGGGGCCTCCTTTTCTTTTAAATGAAATTAAGAAAATCTTCATTTCTGGTTCTTTATTCTTATTCAAATTCTCATGATTTCTTCCTTTCTGAAACAGAACTAGATCCACTCAGATCATTGTAACAGAAATTGATTTAGCTCTTCTTCATTTATTTACAGCATTTCCATAAAAGATTCTGTGGGATTACTCAGGATGACTTCTCACTTTTATCCCCCCTTCAGAATTTTTTCTGATATATAATTAGTTGGAATGCTACATATGGTTAACATTTTTTAAGAAAGAGTATGTACAGAATGCTTTGAGTTAAATAAAATCCTCCAAGGAGGTTGAGAGGGTGCTTTTGATGCATGTTTTCCAAGTTTTTTTTTTTTCAGTTTGCGACACATTAATCAAATTGCTAGAACGACATAAGGGGGTAACTGGGCTCCCACTTAGCTGTCATCTGCATCTTCCCATATCCAATTAGTGTGTGCATGTAGAATTCTCTCTCTCTCTCTCTGTCTCTCTCTCTCTGTCTCTGTCTCTGTCTTTCTCTCAACTCCCTCCATCGCATGGGCACACACACTCACACACACACAAACATACACTTGCCAGTCTCTACCACTGTTGCCAATAATCTCAATTCTTCTGACTAGTTTTAAATTGACAAAAGGGAATGTGGAAACCCAAAACATCATTGTATACTCAGTTCTTTTCCAAGATACACTAGCATTTTACCAATGCCCTATGTAGTTAGCTGTTATTGGCAATATTCAACAATCATGTGTCTCTTATTTTTCCCCTTTATAGCTGTTATTCTCTTTCTTTTTTCCTTTTCTTTATTCTCCTTCCTCCTTTTCTTGTTTTACCCTGCTCCTTTATCTATCATCTTTTCTGTTTTATTTTTAAGTCTTGTCATTTCTTCCTCTTCCTTTTTCAATCTGTATGCTCTGCTTATTCCTGAAAACATCAAGCCTCTTATTGGCATTGCTTAGAGCTCTTGAACTTCCTTACTATTATGTGTTTTAGATCATGGAGGTTTAAAATACAAACATCCACCAGTGACCATGTAAATTCATCCTTTTATAATGTTTTAAGGTTGACAGTTTTTTTTCTCACAAAAATCCCATGAGGCACATAATGTGAACATTATTATCCTCATTGTACAAAAGAGGGAAACAAGACTCATAAAGTTGAAATGACTTGTTCATTGTCAAATATCTAGTAAACATGGGCATTAGAATTTCAGTCAAGGGCTCCTAGGATCTTTCAATTATTCTGCACTGAATAGACTCATACTTACATGTACAGACACAGACACAGACACAGACACAGACACAGACACAAACACACACATATGTATATTAGAGGGGTTCATACATCCTTGAACTCATGGGCAAATAATAGATTTCTCTTTCAATAATATTTGTTAAGACTTTTCTGCCACTTTCCAGTACTCTCACCTCCACATACACAATTTTGACACTAAATATTACTTGATCTTTTCAAATAACACCTTTATGCCCTTGTTTGACAAGGTGATACAATGACTTTTTGTAGTTGATAAAAATCAATTATTTCACTTAGGGAAGGCACCATTTGTTCTTGGCTCTATTTTTCACTTTCCAAAATCAAAGAAACTGATTCTGCACCCAGGATGACACAGATAATGCTCTGAGATCTCAAAGACTGTCTACATTAGGTTAGGAATTTAGCTTGATTTGGTGTGAGAATTCATTGTCTTGAAGAAATTTGGTTGTTAGGAATAATATGGGAAAGTGTCAGAGGAATCATAGAATGTCAGAACTGGAAATTAATTTAGAAATAATCAGTCCCACTATCTCCTCATTTGGTTATTGCTACATATACTCACTCCTTAGATAGACTGTATTCAACCAAGCCATGTTGTGGGTAAAAAGGGAAGAAAATCTCTAGCTTCAAACAGAGAAAAGATGTTATCTCCTCATTTTGGAGATGACGACAAAAACCAGAGACGTGATTCATTCTAAGTCTCTTCATGGAAAAGTTGTGATTAGAAACTTGTTCTCCCATATTATTCTAATGCTCCTTTTAATATGCCATTCTGAATCCCAAACTACTGTCTTTCCCTGATGAAAGCATCTTTTTCCCACTGCCCCATCTCGAATCTTCTGGTCAATATTTCTATGTGGTTATTGAATGACATAAAACTAGTGTAAATGAGGAAAGGTAGTGGAAGAACAGAACTATAACCAGGAATTGTTGCACCTGTTTCAAAGGGTAAGAAAGGCTCCTTTAATTCGAGGCATGGTAGGGAGAAGTGAGGAAACAGAACTAGGGAAGTGGTACAAAAGGTAGAATGGAATGTGAAGATCATTTTTGATCCTCCAAATCAATTCAATGGACATTTATTTATCATGGATATTAGAGAACACAATGACAAAACACATTATAACAGTCCCTGTCTTCAAGTAGCTCATGTTTTACCCTGGGAATACTGCATGTAAAAAGATAAATCAGATACTTGCTTAACTTCTTTTAGGCAGAGCAGTTACATGCCTTAGTAGTCTGACCTTCACTTTTATGGGGAAAGGATGTCAGAAGGGAATATAATATTTTATTGGTGACAGCTTATGTAGGCTCACTAGACCATGGGATGCTCCCTCCCATCCTATCCTATTGTTCTGGGATTCGCCGGCTCTAGGAGTCATCTAGTCCTGGCCCAATCTCCTCCTTCACCTACCTACTAGCCACTGCTGTTTGGACAGAGGTCCATTCTCAAGCTCACCACTTAGTGACAGGGAGACCTTTCATAACATATTTAAAAATTGGAAGTCACCCAACCCCACTTCAACTCTTTTTTCCTGGCCTCGGTTTGGGAGGGGGCTGCCTATGTTGTTAGAACTACAATGTCCTATGGGAAGAGGAGACTCCTGGTTGGCCAACTTCCCCATAAGCTGGCAGAGGGATTGCAGTGTATGTATAACATTCACCAGAGGATATGGGTGTATTAAAGTCCTATCTCTCCTATGTCATCCCCTTCTGAATAAATGTGAAGTCACTTCCTCTTCCTGGGTTCCAATGCTAATTTGACACATTCTAAATGTGTCTATTCTTAGGCATGGCCCTTTCTCCCTAGCTAGTATAGCTCTATGGAAGATTATGATTGATCTAGTCATGTGACTCTAAGAACTTGTGCAAGTTAACTCAAGTTTTGGAAAACTGAGGCTTAAACATGATCTGAACATGAAGTTGATGAGAGAATATCTGGAAATATGTAGGGGAAACTGTGGAAATTCTATTATTAGTAAAAGGATTGAATATATTGAGACTATGATAGGAAGTAAATGCATTTGCTTTATGCTTCTGTTTCCTCAGTCTGTTGTATTGCTATGGTTCATTTTTCTCCTCCTCCTCCTCCTCCTCTTCCTCATTCTTCTTCTTCCCACATCTATTCTTGTGAACCTTTTTTTCTTCTCCTTTCTTAACCTTTCCTTTGCTGACCTAATCTTGTTACCCTTCTACTTTCTTGCTTCTCCAAAACCTCTGACCTGCAATCTTTTGGAGTTTTTGCTGGTAAGACAAATACAACATCCACTTTTCATCCCCACAATTTTAATTCCTTTCCTTGTTCTCTACTCTTAGGTCATTTCAGCAACTGTGGAACCAGCTGAATCAATGGATGGAGCAAATGACTCTATGGTAACTGAGTTTGTGCTTCTGGGTCTCTCTTCTTCTTGGGAGTTGAAGATTCTACTCTTTTTGTTCTTCTCCTTGTTTTTTATGGGAATCATGCTGGGAAATCTCTTTATTGTATTCACTGTGATTTTTGACCCTCACCTGCACTCCCCTATGTATTTCCTGCTGGCCAATCTCTCCTTCATTGACTTAGGTCTATCTGCTACCACAGTACCAAGGATGATAGTGGACCTTTTCAGTGAATATAATATGATCATCTCCTTCCCAGGTTGCATGACACAGATGTTCTTTATCCATGTCATGGGAGGAACTGAGATGGTTCTGCTCATAGCCATGGCCTATGACAGATACATAGCAATCTGTAAGCCTCTCCACTATTTGACAGTTATGAGTCAGAAAATGTGCATTTGCTTTGTAGTGACTGCCTGGATAGTTGGGATGATTCATGCTCTTTCTCAGTTTGTTTTTGTTATAAACTTGCCCTTCTGTGGCCCAAACAATGTGGAGAGCTTTTATTGTGACTTTCCTCGGGTCATAAAACTTGCCTGCATAGACACCTATAGGCTGGAGTTTGTGGTCACAGCCAATAGTGGGTTTATCTCCATTGGAACTTTTCTCCTATTGATGATATCCTACATTTTCATCCTGATCTGTGTTCGACAACATTCTGCAGATGATTTGTCCAAAGCCTTCTTTACCTTATCAGCTCACATCACTGTGGTGGTTTTATTTTTTGGTCCATGTATGTTTCTTTATGTGTGGCCATTTCCTACATTGTCACTTGATAAATTCTTTGCTATTGTTGACTTTGTTATCACCCCTGTCTTGAATCCTGCTATCTATACATTAAGGAATAAGGATATGAAGATGGCAATGAGAAGACTGAGTAGCCAGATTGTGAGCTCTAGGGAGAACTTGTGATATATTTTATTGATCAAGGTCAAGAGATAATTTTGGCTTACTATGCTCACATTGGAATATGTGCATCTAATTTTCAACATGTGAGATTATACAAGTTGGAAGAATATGTGGTATGAGGAACTCTTAGCAGTTCATCTAGATGTAAGAGAAGAGATGATTTTGCTTATCACTGAGGATAGGACATTCCTTCATATTGAAAAGGACTGAAAATGTTCCTGAATTATTTTAGGAGACAACACATTAAACTGTCATATGCCTATTTCAGTGCCATATTTTGACCAGACTTTACTTCATCTTCATTGCATGCTGGATATCTTCATGGAAATTCCATGTATCCAATTGATAAAAATAGGGGTTTTATATTTATGTAATAAACATAATATATAATAAACATAGAATAAAGATAGAATAAAATGGCAAATAACTTCCTCAGTTTTTCCATTATAAAAGTGTGAAGTCATTGGAACAGGAATACTAAGTCAATGATACTTAAGTTCTTGAGTGAAACTTGTGATTTCTCCTCATGCTTTGCCAGTATGGGCAGCTACTTTGGAGGTATATAGAAGAGATCCTACATGTATCAACAAGGTTTTGGATACTGATTTTGGGCCATTGCATTTTCCTGTAACTTCTTCATTCTAAATGTGGCTACAACTCACTATTTAATGACTTGCACCTCTACCTTAATTATTGATTCTTACTTGGTATGCCTGGCTTAGGAAAGAAACATCTAATCCACAGAATAGGAACCACCTTCAGTCCTCAGTATTTAGGGGAAGGTTAGTTTTTCTTGCATAGGGTGATCCATTCAAATAAGAAGCCCAAAGAACTTGCTAAGATATGTTAGCTCATGGTCTATAGTGTGTTGTACTGCAGGAAGTAGCACTGACTTTGTGGTTCAGTGGACAAAGCACGGGGCCTGGAGTCAGGGAGAATTCAAATTTTCAGATATTTTTTAACCATGTAACCAAGTCACTTAACCTCTGTCTACTGTAGTTTCTTCAACAGTAAAATGGGGACAATAACAGCACCTACCTCCTAAGGTTGTTGTGAGGATCAAATGAGATAATATCTGTAAAGTAGTTAGCAACAATGCCTGGCATATAGTGGGCACTTAGTAAATGCCTGTTCCCCCCCCCCCCCCCCCCCGCTTCTTTCCTTATGTTTGTAAGTTTCAGTAAAACACAGGGTCAGGCTGGTTGCCAAGAAAGATATACTAGATACCACTGTAATTCTAGGTTCTATAATAAGTATTATCAACTTTTCAATAAATGGGAACACATAAGGACTTTGGTGTGAGTGATATTTGCTTCCCAAGTTCCTTTTGTAACTCAAGTATACATTGCACGTGGCACTTGAGTACCCCATATAATATTTGGAAAACATAGTTGTGCAAGCAGCCCTTCCTGGCTTATCTCCTGCCTTCATTAATCTTACAGAAAACCAATGTGTCCTGATGTCATCTTAATTATCCAAGATGGAATGCAGTCCATGATTTCCCCACAAGGTTGCAATGAACTGAAGCCACTAGTGAAGTGGTCTTTAGATAGCTTTGGATCCTGAGTGAATTAACTTAAAAAGATGCAGTATTCTACTGGGTCACCAGAGGGCACTCATCCTACACAATTCAGTTACCTCCCCACACCCCTTCCTCCCAGGAATGGCTTCTTGTGGTAGTACTGCATTGCGAATTTTGATTGAGGTATGATACCAAAATAATTACAGGAGTAGAAAAAAATCTATTACTCTAGCAAATGGACTTTTTTCTATTAGTCCACTCAAACTCCAAATTCTTAAAGTACAGTCAAACTATTGTGGCCAAGTAGTTTATTGAACATAAAAGAGAAATAGAATAAGTGGTTCTCTATGGAGCTTCCCCCCAAACATGACTTTTAACGCCTATACCAATGGATTGTGATAGCTTGTGGAAAGGTAGGGGCATGTGTGGGATCCAGCTTAGGGTCTAGACTGAATGAAGAGAAAACCAGGAAAATGCAGGGAAGGGAGAAAGCTGATCTGCCCTTTTATGTCACCAACCAATGGGATTTTCAAAAGTCCCTAGTTCTTATCCACTGGTGTAATCTTGCCTCTGACTCACCTCTATGGCCTCCATCATAGAGGAAAAAACATGGGCTACCTGAGTTTCAAAACTTGTTGCCACTTGCCTACAAGATAGGCAGAAAAACCTCAGTTAATTACACATCCTAGATCCCCAAAATGACTTACAGGGATTCTCCCTCAATGGTAAAAGAAAAAGGGTACTTCAAAATCTGTACGCCCATACATAAAACTCTTTATTTCAATCAATTGCCTGATTGAAATAAGAATACTTGAAATCTGTACACTCCTGTATTTTTGTTGTTATTTAGTTGTTTTCAGTCATGTCTGACTCTTTGTGACCCCTTTTTGGAGGAATTTTCTTGGCAAAGATACTGGAGTGGTTTGCCATTTCCTTCTTCAGCTCATTTTACAGATGAGAAAACTGGAGCAAACAGTTAAGTGACTTGCCCAAGGACGCACAAGTAGTAAGTGTTTGCACACATCTATTAAGTGTCCCAAACTGGATTTGAACTTAGGTCTGCTTGACTCCAGGCCAGGTGTCTATCCACGGTACCACCTAATTCATCTGGGTCCATCTGTAGTCGTCTTGTTCTGTATCTTGCCACTGGACCCAGATGGCTCCAGAGGAGAGAGTGAGATTAGTGACTTTGCACAGCCCTCCCTCACTTAAATGCAATTCACCTGCAAATCATGGCATTACCTTCCTCATGCCATGATGCTCTTCAAGAACAAAGACAAACAACAACCACCTAGTTGCAGAAGGTAATGGGAGATGAATGGCAAAGAGTGTTCTGATTTGTGTAAGACAACTTTTGAAATACAGATCTATAGAATTTTGAGTAGCCATACTGGCAGGACAGATAAGAAGAAAAAATACAATGGAAAGTGTCACAGATGAGGAAATTGACACACAGAAATGCTAAGTGATGTGATGATGTCACAAAGCTAAGTGGAAAAGCCAGCATTTGAACCAAAGTTTTTTTTTAATTTGTTCATCTATACATCAAGGTTGCATAATGAGTTAGTGACTGTGCAACAACAGGAATCCAGTTCCTAATTCCCACTCCAGTAACTATCACATCACCTAATTATCAGCCCTCCTTTCCCTCACTGTTGATTTTCTTTAACCTCCCCTTAGCCATTGCGCAAAACTTTCTTCTTTACAGTAGTTTTTTATTGATATATTTCATTTTTGCATAAGTCATTTCTGGGCATGCCTTACTTCACTACCCTTCCTCCCAAATTATTCAAACTTCTCCTATAAGAAAGAAAACTGACAGTGACAACATGCAATAATGTATGTGACATTCTGCACCAGTGTCACCCATGTCCAACCAACTAAAAGGGAAGACGTATATTTCTTCATCTCTTCTATGGGACCAAGTCTAATTTTTATAATTAATCATTGTTGAGTATCATGCCAATGTTCTTTTCATTTACATTGTTGTAGTCATTCCATATATTGTTCTGATTTTGCTCACTTCACTGTGCATTAGTTCATTGAAATGTTTGTTTCTCTGGATTCTTCATATTTGTTCTTTCTTACAAACTAATAGTATTCTATTATATTCATATATTACAATTTTCTCAGCCATTCCCCAATCCATGAACTCCCAATTTCCTTTTACTTCTTTTCTACCACAAAACTGATATTTTGAGCATTTTGTCATATGTGGAGATGGTTCTCACTGGGATCAGACTTTCAAAGCTTACTTTTGCAGTTCTGGGAAAACACAAGTGCCTCAGAGAGAAAATCCCCATGATGGCCAGATTAGGGACTCTTGCACCAACTGCATCAATTGGCCACTGACTCTTGATGTTAGGGTGGGATCAACATTTAATCCTTTCAGGCACTTTCAAGTGTCTAATGTTGTAGACTCTATTCATTTCTTTAATAATGCATTAAAAATCTATGAAGGTATTGCTGAACTTCTTTCAGACATGTGTGTAGGAAAGATCCAGAGTGAATTGTGTTTAAGGCTTGGTCTTTGAGAAAAAAAAATCTAGACAGCAAACCCCAAATTAACTAGGCAGCTTTTGGCCATCAAAATTCACCCTTTTTTGGTCAGAACACCCTCAAGTTAAGGAGAGGAGAAGAAAGGAGAGGAGAGGAAAGGAGAGGAGAGGACAGGAGACAGGAAGGGAAGGGAGGTGGGGGAGGACAAGCTGAGTTGCCAGCTGGAACTGACCAGCTGGTTCACCATTCATGGACTGGACAATAGGTCCGTGCCCAAGCACCACCTGGCTCAGAATGAATGTAAATAGTAACTATTTCTTTTTTGGCCAGCAACCCTGAGGGTCTTCCCCTCCAAGTTTAATTTTTTTTTTGTTAAAGTCTCCATCCCTTGACTCACTTCTTTTTTTAAAATACTATTATTGTTATTTTTTTTAGGCAATTAGGGTTAAGTGACTTGCCCTGGGTCACACAGCTAGTAAGAGCCAAGTATTTGGTCTGAGGCCATATTTGAACTCAGGTCCTCTTGACTTCAGGGCCGGTGCTCTATCCACTGCGCAATCTAGTTGCCCCATTGACTCATTTCTTAAATAAGCCTATTCATGGAATAGGCTCAAAGTAAGAACCTGAAAAGACCTTAGCTTAAAAGGGCCAAAGTCTCCCATTGCATCCTGGGTCATCTTCAATGGTCCGGATGGATATCTGGCCACTGGACTCAGATAGCTCCGGAGGAGAAAATGAGGCTGGTAACTTTGCACAGTCCTCCCTCACTCAAATCAAAGTCAATTGTAAATCATGTCATCATTTCCCTGATGTCATGGTTCTCTTCCAGAATGAGAATGAAGGACAAGCCACAGGTAGGAAAGATTAAATTAAGGCCAGTGTTATGGAAAGAACTTTCCCCTGGCAATTAGAAGGGTCTTTGACAAAACACTGAAGATTGGAGATTGCAAGAAATTCTCCGCCATATTTGGGTAGTCCAAGA